GTGAGGTAGGGTGAGGTGTGACATTTTTAGGGTCGACCTTTTCTAACCCTTCCTTCCTTGTGAGAAGGCAGAATCGCTGCAGATGCTGGTTGTCTGAGGGAAACACCTTACTGCTGTCACACCCCTCTGCAGTCAGCAGTACGACTTCGCCCTCAGACCTTGGGTAGCTGCTTTTAGTCTCAATCAATCGAGGAGAATTGAGATTCACTAAATTATCGAAAGTTTGGGCAAACCCTGTTGGCTCCACATAAAAGTACACACACACACACACTACACTGTTCAAAGAATTGAGATCAAAATGAATTTTGTGAATGAAACCTGGTGGGTTACAATTGATAAACCTTTTTATTGAAGTCATCATGATAACAAAACCAATGAAAACTTGGAGAAGCGTAGTGGCGATTTTCATACTGGTATAGGAATACTCAGTGATAGTGTACATCCATGACTCCAAAGGCTTGACATCTTGACGACTGACTCAGTGTTCAAGGTTTTCAATGGTAGTCTAACATTGTTCAGCTATTGCAAAATTAAAACATGTGCTCACTAATGACTAGCTTCCTGAGGTTCTTGGAATTCCAGTAAGAAGTGATTGGTGAAGTTCATTCTTGTCAGATGTAGTAGACAGGTACCTACCGAAGACAGTTAGTGAGGTTGCGCAAAATCCTTGGATTGATCAGAGTTAGACATAAACACCGTTGGTTGCTGGTCGTGGGCAAGACCGAAGGTACTGGGTTCAATTCCTTCGAGTAGCAGGACTCATGGATGCGCAGTGCTGATGATTCCCACACCGGAACGAAACGGCCTTCCAGTGCTTCGATATTTCTAATGTCGGTCTAACATTGATTGATTCATGAAAGTTATCGTGTTTTCATTAGTGCCTAGTTTCATGAGGATTTTCTAGTGAGAAACTGTGACCGATAGAGTTAAATCATATTGGATATATGACAGTAAGTCACAGAAGACAATGAATAATGGTTACACAATGTCGTCGACACTGGTTGCAGTTATGCAATAACATCGGTGGATGCTTGATTCAATAGTCATGAGGCTAAGCTTTCGTGCATGATCTATAAGGTAGTCCCGCGACTGGATTCCTTTGAGGGGAGGTTGTCAATACGCACTGTTGATGAAGATCATACCAGGATGAAACGATTATTCAGTGGTTCGAAGTTTTTCTAATGATTTCCATTTTCCACGATCAAGAAATAGATTATTTTAAAAGTTACTATTTGAAATCATGCATCTATCATTGTTAGATCACCATTAGAAACCTAGAAGCACTGGAAGACAGCCGTTTTCTCCTAGTATGGGAATCAACAATGACAGTGAGTATTCATCATTCCTACAACTAACGGAAGATAGTTGCTGAGGTTGCACAAAATCCTTGGATTGATCAGATTTAAACATTAACACCATTAGGTACCAGCTCAGTGGTCCTAAGGTCAGGCATTCGAGCGCAAGATCGAAGGTTCTAGGTTCGAATCCTGTGAATTGAAAGATTCGTGAATGAGCACTGCTGATAATTCCTATATCAGGACGAAACGTCCGTCCAGTGCTTCTAGGTTTCGTCTAATGCTGGTCTAACATAGATCGATTCATGATTTCAAAACGTAACTCAATAATCTCCACAACCCCATAATGTATATTATAAAAATAACACTTATTTGTTATTTAGACTTTGTACGTACGTACAAACATCAGTTCAAGTTGTCATACCACATAAGTACACAGAGGAGAGGCAATTGTCCATTTGAATCCCATAGTAGTAACGATAGTAAAAGTATTAGTGCAAATGGAGAAGATTAGGGTTTGAAGATAAGATTCAAGAAGTATAATTCAGTGAGATGACTTCAGAAATAGAAAGATAAAGGTAATGAGGTATTTAGAAGATTAAAATTCGGGAGAGCACAAAGAATGGATACACCTACGTCATTACAAACAATTTTGACCCATATCATATCAAGTGTGTAACCGCCGGTTACGATTGTCATGTGAACCCCAAACCAAGTAGTCTACACTGACTAACATGGTTCAGTTCAATTATCAATAACTTCATAGATTTGTGCTATGTTTTGGTTTGGTAGCTCGTCATTGTATATATCTGTTTCATTCTAAGAATACTTTAGGGTCATCTGATGAATTGTATTGGTCCAGAGGTTAGGCATTCGTGCACAAGACCGGAGGTCTTGGATTCGAAGCTTGCTTGTAGCAGGAGTCGTGGATACGCACTGCCACTGATGAGTCTCATGCCAAGACAAAACAGCCATCCAGTAGTGCTTCCAGGTTTCGTCTAATGGTGGTCGAACAATGATGGACATATGTTACATATGCGGAACCATTGACTGCCTCGACGAGCGATGTTTGGTGGTGTAGGAGTAGGTTGGAAGAAAGTTAGGGGCTGTCAGACCAAAACATGTCAGAAATCCATGAAGTCATTGACAAATGGGTTGAGTCATGTTGGTAGATAGATGTAAGCTATCTGGTTGGGGTCCACTAGACGAAAGTCACCAATGGTTAGAGACCTTGAATGACATGGCTCAAAATCGTTTGCAATGGTGCATGTGCATCCATTCGTTGTGATCTCTCAAATCCTAATCTTCTGGAATCGTCAGCACCTCTACCCTCGCCTTTCTAACCTTATCTCACTGAATTATACTTCTTGAATAATATCTTCAAACCCTAGTCTTCTTTATTACCATTAATACCTCTAATATCTCTATCACTATAGGATTTTATTTGACATTTACGTCTCTGTGTTAATGTAGTATGGCAACCTGAACTTATGTACATACACGTACGAAGTTCTACGTTGTAACTGACTGATTGACTGATTCATTCATGATTTCATTAGAGACTTGAGCCAGACATCTTTCACTTCAAAGAAAAATCAACTATTAACCAGAGATGGATTCTGAGTAATAGTGGAATCCAAGACACATATTTTCTCTTGTTCAAACAAGCAGCGTCGTTAGTCAACTATAAAGTAAAACCATGTATGGACGTACGTACGTACATCAGTTCACGTTGCCATACCACATTAGTACACAGAGTGACAGAATTGTCTATCCAAATCCTATAGTACTATAAGTATTAGCAGAAATAACGAGGGAAGATTAAGGTTAGAAGAAATTATTCAACAAGTTTAATCCAATGAGGCCAATTTAAAAACAGCACAATACTTGACGGCTTTTTTGAATAGTTTACCTCTGTCTGTTAATTAGTTTGTTTTGATATGTAAATTCTGTCTGTTGATCGCATAATCTATCTATTCCGTCATGGATATAAAAGGTTAACAAGCTATCACTGTACAAAGTCGCGAAAAACTACACTTTGAGAAATCTCAGTGGCTGGCAATCTACTGAGAAAAGAAGTTTGCTTACTTCCAACTGACAATCATTGATTGTACTGTTAAAGAAACTAGTTGAAATATTCTATGCTGAGACTAAAAGATGAGTGTACTGCGGAGTAGTTCACTCCGTCCTACTAGACGGATGCAAAACATGGCCGGTGAGAGTAGAGGACATTCTTAGATCATAGGTATCTCCGAAGCAGTGCTCGTGTATCATGGGATAACCGTATAAGCAATACTGTCGTTAGGAAACGAGTACTAGGTAAGGATGACAGATCAATTGATGAAGTATTGAAACTTCATTAGTTGAGGTGGTTTGGACCTGTGATGCGTATGCCTAACCATTGACTGCCTCGTCGAGCTATGTTTCGTGGAGTAAGAGTAGGTTGGAAGAAAGTTAGAGGAGGCCAAACCAAAATATGGCACAAATCCATGAAGCCCCTGACAGCAGGACTGAGTCATGTGAGTAAGGGTCAACCACCTAGTTGGAGCCCGCGAGACAAAAGTCACCGATGGTTAGAGACCTTGAATAACATGGCTCAGAATCGTTCGCATTGGCGCAGGTGCATCCACTCTTTGTGTTCTATGAAATTCTAATCTTCAGAATTCCTCATCATCTCTATCTTTCTCCTTTTAAAGTTATCTCACTGAATTATACTTCTCGAATCATATCTTCAAATCCTAATCTTCTCCATTACCAGTAATACTTCTACTATCGCTATCACTCTTGGATTTGAACAGACAGTTGCGTCTCTGTACTGATGTGGTATGGTAACCTGAACTGATCAACGTACGTACGAAGTTCTGCGTTGTATCTGTCTGTCTGTCTATCTGCATTCTGTGTCTGAGAATTCCATATTGTACTGAACATTTAATAAACCGACTATTATTATTATTATCAAAACTGTTTAAAAATGCTTAAACCTTTGTAGTAATAGTTGAAATAATCTACTCAAAATGTATTTTTACAAATACATATATATATATTTTGAAACCATGAACCGATCAATGTTAGACCACCATTAGAAACCTGGAAGCACTGGACGGATGCGCACTGCTGAGGAGTCCCATACCAGGACGAAACGGCCGTCCAGTGCTTCCAGGTTTCTAATGGTGGTCTAACATTGATCGGTTCATGGTTTCAAAAATGTGTAACTTAACAATCTTCACAACCCCGTAATGCAAATTACCTGTGCTCACTAGTGACTAGCTTCGTGAGGAATCTTCTCCGAGTTCTAGTGGGAAGACGTGACCAGTGAAGTTCAACCTGTTCGGGTGTAGACAGTAACTACCGAAGACTGTGTATGAGGTTGCGCAACTCCGTGAATTTGATCAAGTTAGACATTAACACCGTTAGATATCGGCTCAGTGGTCTATCGGTTAGGGCGTTCGCGCACTACACCGAAGGTCCTGGGTTCGAATCCTGCGAGGTGCAGGAGTCGTGGATGCGCACTGCTGAGGAGTCCCATACCAGGACGAAACGGCCGTCCGGTGCTTCCAGGTTTCTAATGGTGGTCTAACATTGATCGGTTCATGGTTTCAAAAATGTGTAACTTAACAATCTTCACAACCCCGTACTACATATATATATGTATGAATTTATTTAAATAATTATAATTTTACAAACATTGAATACTGAACGACTTACTTTATTATTATTGTTATTCAAAGTAACATGTGAATCTTGTACAAGTGGAGGACTAGGTTGATTTGTTTTCTCTGATTTCGATGAGTTCATTCGTTGGTGGTGTACTGTTTTTAGTGAATATTCTCAAGTTTAATCCGTGTTTTTTTTTTGTAAAATCAAAATAGTAAAATAGTAATTTTAAACAAATGTAATTATACTGCTTTTTGTTTTCTAAATCCGTGTTGATCAAAAATGGTGTAATATTTATTTCCCTTCAATATTTTTCCGTTCATCAACATCATCATATGTCATTGTGTTACCCCCCGTCCGTCCGTCCGTCCGTTATTGGTAGTGGAAACATCTTCATTAATAATATATCATTGTGAAAGGTGAACATTATTGTTCAATCTCTCTCCTTCTCTCTCTCACTCTCTCTACTGTCGTAGACACTACAATCGAGAATGAGTGACACAGAGAGAGTGAACAAGAGAAAACTGTTCTTTTCTCTAGTTTGTGCTCTATGACTGATGACTGAATGAACATGTCACACTGAACAGTGGTGAATGAATGAACAATAATGATCTTGAACAATGGAAATTGATCACACTATGACTATGCATAATTCGAATCTGCTTATTCGATTGGTTATCACAACATTTAAAAAGTCTATCCTCTCATTCTCTCTGTATTTCCCCCCCCTCTCTCTTACCTCTTCTCTTCTCCTCTGAATTCATGTCATCATAATATGTGAAAGATTGTGATTGGTTGGTTGGTTGTTTGTTTAAAAATGAGTCATTATTTATTTTTTTTTAAAAATTCAAATTTAAGGTCACGTGTGTTATATCTGAAATTTAAGTGGTTCATTATGTATGTTTGAGTGAGTATATTAATAATTAGGTAATTTTAGATAAAATGGTGGGGAACAAAAAAGGAAAGTTCATTCCCTTACCACCACCCACCCATTAGGTGTCGGTGTGTGTGTTGGTGTTTAGAAAATTTGCGTTACACCTGTTCATATCAATTCGTTATGTAATCATAAGTGTATTGATAAGTTTATTTGCTAACACCTGTTACTTCCTTTTTTTGAATGGTGCATAGGCTGCCCGTCGGTCGGTATTCTTCAACTGAATCTGTCCTGCGTCTTCTCTTCCAGGACTTATGATCATTCATTTCGTGTCCGCTTCGAATTCTCTTTGTATAATGTGTTCTTTGGTCTTCCTGTTTACTTATGGCTTTGAGGATTTCTTGTTAAGTGCTTTCCTCAATATATGTAGTGCTATCGACCTGCGGTGATTTCTCCTAATTTCTCCCTCAACTGGAATCTGGTTTGTTCTCTATTACAGTAGGTAACTGATGTCTGTGTCTGGCCAACGGATCTGAAGTATCATCTTGCGCAGACGACTGTTAATAAATACTTGTATCTTGTGAACGATGGCTTTGGTAGTTCTTTAAGTTTCAGCTCTATGAAATAGAACTGTCTGGAAGTTTGTATTGAAAACTGTGCTTTTGTGTTCGCTAGTGTTAGATCATCATACAAATCACTGGACGGCTGTTTCATCCTAGTATGGGACTCATCATTGGCAGATCACATCAACGACCCTTGGTTCTCAGGAATCGAACCGACGGTCTCGCGCGCGAACGTCTAACCAATAGACAACTGGGCCAAGGGCACCCAACGCTGTTACTGACTAACTCTGATTAGTTCACGGTATAGCGCGATCTCACCAATTGCCTATAGGTCCGAAAAGTATGGATAGATTAAAAACTATGGTTACGTCTGGTGATCTCGTTTAAAAGTTAAGGCTAGGGCCGGCCAAACCAAGATATGGCACAAATCCAAGAAGTCACTGACACGTAGACTGAGTCATGTCGGTAGGTGTCGACTACCTGGTTGAGGTCCGCGAGACGAAAATCACTGATGGCTAAGCGACCTTGAATAAGATGGTTCAAAATCGTGTGCTATGGTGCAGGTGAATCCAATCTTTGTGTTCTTTAAAATTCTAACCTTCTGAATTCGACATCACCTCTAACTTTCTTTCTATATTTATCTGACTGAATTATACTTCTTGAATAATATCTTCGGACCGTAATCTTCTCCATTACTGCTAATACTTCTGTTGTGCGAGCTACTTATAAGTAGTATATGACGTGACTGTCAACGTAATGTCTGGCAGCAGAAGATGAGGGAAGATCAAGAAACGAGGAAGAGTTAGAACACAATGGAATTTGTAAGAAATGCATGAATAGTGACAATGGATTGATGTTTTGCAACAGGAACAGTCCAGTTCGATATGATGAACTGATATTTTGCAAATTAACGATTTACGATATGGTTTTCCAATTTTACTGAGTAACTCTGTAATTTTCGTTAAATACAGTTTGGTTGCCCCACCTGTGTTCTCGTTCACTACACTTCTAAATAATAATCAAGCTGTGATATAAACTTTGCACTTGGAACATTGAACAAAACACATTTATATTTCACACCGATTGTTAATTAATTTCATTTGATACAGTAAAACAAAACGAAATAAAATCATCCATTACTCTTTTTTTCATTGTTATGGGTTGTTAATTAGAAACATTCTGATTCTTACTTGTTAAAATATTATTCTCATCATTGAATTGTAATTTTTTACTGAATTGCATAAAACATCCGCCATGTTCAATGATCAATAATGCATACATACATTCAATCATAGTATAGATTGAAACATTTTCATTTGGTTTGATATTTTTATTAGTTAAATCTTTACAACAGATGTTCTATTATTATTATTATTATTATTATTATTATTATTATTATTATTATTATTGACCTGTTATCATAATTATCATTTTAATGCAGGGATTGTAATTTTTGTTGTGCGTGTTTTATTCTGCTTGACCTTAGTTTCATTCATGCTGTTCAGTAAGTAAGTAAGTAATAAAGTATACCTGTAATCTAGTAAAATATCGAAGCAGCATCCACGGACCTCCCAATTAATATTGGCACACCTACGATTGAGGAGATCAGTATGGCCATCAGACAAATCAAGAGAGGCAAAGCAGCAGGACTAGACAACATTCCAGCAGAGGCAATGAAAGCAGATGTAGAAGCAACTGTGAAAATATTTTACATCCTCTTCAAGGAGATTTGGGATGAGGAACAAGTACCATCAGATTGGAAAGAAGGATACTTGATCAAAATACCAAAGAAAGGCGACCTGAGCAAGTGTGAGAACTACAGAGGCATCACTCTTCTTTCAATACCAGGCAAAGTCTTCAACAGAGTATTGTTAAACAGAATGAAGGACTTCTTGGACGCCCAACTTCGAGATCAACAGGCCGGATTTCATAAGGATCGATAGTGTACTGACCAAATTGCTACATTACGGATCATTGTGGAACAATCAATTGAATGGAATTCACCACTCTACATCAACTTCATCGACTACGAGAAAGCATTCGATAGCGTGGACAGGAAAACACTGTGGAGGCTTCTTCGACACTACGGTGTGCCGAGAAATAGAGAAAGATATGAGAGGAATGAACAAACATTGGACAGAATTGGAGAGGGAAGCCCAGGACAGAGTTGGTTGGAGAAAACTGGTGGGCGGCCTATGCTCCATTGGGGGTAACAGGCGTAAGTAAGTAAGTAAGTAATCTAGTAAGAAACTGATACTGATACTTACTTCCTGGTGGATTTCATCATTGGGTTAGTTAGTTAAATTCACAGTCGGAGAACATGATCAGTGAACTATGCAAGCATGAAACCTTCAATTATCAATTTACATTTCGCCATGGTGCACGTAATGTCGAGTCACCTTTAGATGAGAACTTCGTACGTTAGTACATCAGTTCAGGATGCTATACCACATTAGCACAGAGATACAATTGTCAATTCAAATCACATGGTGGTAGAAATAGTAGAAGTATTAGCAGTAATGGGGAAGATTACGGTCCGAAGATAGTGTAGTGAAGGAGAACACAGGTGGGGCAACCGGATTGCATTTAACGAGAATTACAGAGTTACTCAGTAAAATCGGAAAACTGGCAATACCAACCGATTAAAGGCCGCCTACTAAGATTCTCCAATCAACTCTAGACCACCGCTCTCTTTTTAAGTTATTCCCTATTGCTGTCCATTAGTTACATGTCGGTCCCTTAATCTTCTTGTTGTCCTTTTGATCTTCAGGGGGACCAAAAGGACTGTAATCTGTGTCTCTTATTCACCTCCAACCCTTTTTCCTAATTTTTGTGTTCAGCTATAAGCAAGTTTATTCTTTCCCACATTAGGTTGTTCTAGTAAGGGACTTATCAATAGTGCACATCCACGACCCCTTACATGCAGCAGTAGAACTCAGGAGCTTCGATCTCATACATCACCGCCTAACTTCAAGACCACTTATTCGGTATATTAATGTCACCTCATATGATCACTAGTGACTATCTTCGAGACAGAATTCTCACAGTTCTGGTAAGAATCTGTGATCAGTGAAGGTAGGTTTGATGTGAGACAGTTACCAACAGAACAAAATGGATGACGTTCATGCAGTATCATAGACTGAGTGAAGTTAGCTCATTGGTCTAAAGGTTAAGAGTTCACTAGGTCCTGGGATTCGATCCCTCTGTGTCGGATCATGATACCTCTCTACAAGGACGAACTGGAGGTCCATTGTTTCCAAGATTCTATTAATGGTCTCAAAATTGATCAGTTCATGATTTCAGTGATATTTCTATTTAAAATGTTAATTTTCTAACACAGTACTCGCTTATCAAGTAAATTAGTTAGATACAGTCGACAGGAAACTCCACTCAACCTTGATTTTATTCTATTTGGTAATCAGTACTAAGGAGTACTTGTAATTTTGAAGATAACGACGTTATCACTAAACAATGCAGATCGCCAATGGGCATCAATAACGCCATCTGGAGCGCCTATGTGGCTACTACCGGTCTTAGATACAGGTAAAAGAGGAGGGTTGGTCATCACGGAAGTTTCCTTTACGGAAACATTCAGTGATTGGCAGTTGAAAAGTATGAGCAGTTCAACAATCGACATCTTATGAACGTTGATTGGTTTCTCAACAAGATTACTGGAATGCTTTGAAACTCTATCTGGAGCCCCT